CGTGGCTTGTCTCTCCGCGTGTTCACCGAGGTCTCCCTGTCTTGCATCTTCACTCTGACCGTGGTGGCGAGTTCGCCTATGGTTGCCTTGGTCGCTTCTGTTGTGCGGAGGGCATCACCCAGACGTTCACCTTGCGGGACTCCCCGCTGCAGAATGGGGTCGTCGAGCGACGCATCGGCTCGGTCATGGAGGTGGCTCGTACCTCCATGATCCATGCTGGTGCACCCCATTTTCTGTGGCCTTTCGCCGTTTGCAACGCCGCCCATCAACTTAACCTGTGGCCGCACCCTCAGCGGCCTCAGGTTTCACCGAACCTCCTCTGGGGGTGCTGGGGAGCGGGCAAGAGCTGGTTCTAGAGCGGGCTCTGGGGTAACTGGCGTGGGGCTTCTCGGAGGGAGTCGTGTTGTCGCTGGAGGTTATGGTGTTGGAGTCGGGAAGCAGTCGCAGCCGTCGCCGCCGCTGTCCGCTCTTCCCCTGACCGCCTGCCTATGCCTTCCCCACTTGCCGCCGCCTCCTCCTCTGCCGGTCCATGGCCCAACATTTCCTCCCCCGGACTCCGCTCCGGCTCGTTTCCCTCCCCGTTCTCCTCCTGTGTCTCCTCCCCTCTCTCCTGACCTGACTCCTCCGTCTCACGTCTGGTCTCGTCGTCCGTCTCGTGCTCGACCTACCTCCCCTGTTCTGCTTTCTCACCCTATGTTGCTTCGCTCTCATGCGTCTCTTGCTCTCCTCTCCTCCCGTCTCCTCCCCCGTCGTCACATGCTGTATCCCCGCCTCCGTTCTCGGACTTCCTCCGTGCTACGCGTCCCCTCGTTCCTCGTGTCCTTGCCTCTCTCATTACCGACTTGTCCGTTCCTGTCTCGAGTCTGTCGGCTCTTGTCGCTGCTTTCATTGACTTCACCGCTTCCCGCCGCCCGGACTACGCTACCGCTCTGGTCTCTGACCCTGCCTGCCCTCTGGCTGTCGGGGGTGTGACTGCTCTTGGTAGTGATGTCCCAGAGGACAGGCAGTTTGAGCTCGCTTTCCTATCTGAGGCCGCTCCCCATCTCTGTTCCATGCTACTATTCCCTGAGGGTGACTCAGACGCCCTTGACATCTCAACCCCTCGCACCTTCGCTGAGGCTAGCTCGGAACCCTGGGCCTCTTAGTGGATAGCTGCCATGGAGCAGGAGATGGCATCTTAGAGATCCACCGGTACCTTCGTCGACGCAGTTCCCCCACCTGGGGTGAACGTAGTCGATGGCCGGTGGCTCTTCAAAGTGAAGCGCCATCCTGGAGAGCCGCCTGTCTTCAAGGCGCGCTAAGTTGCTCGAGGCTTCAGTCAGCGTGAGGGGGTGGATTTCTTTCAGACCTTCGCCCGGACCCCGAAGATGACCACTCTTCGGGTACTACTATACGTAGCAGCACAGCGTGACTACGAGCTGCACTCCCTCGACTTCTCCACAGCTTTCCTCCAGGACAGTCTACACGAGCAGGTCTACCTGCGCCGCCCCCAGAGCTTCTCCGATACCTTTCCCCCTTGCACTGAGTGGCTCCTCCGGCGCCCCGTCTCCTGCAACAGGCGCCCTGTAAGTGGCACGACATGCTACGTGCTACATTTGCTGACTTGTAGTTCTTCCCTTCGTCTGCAGACCCCTCGCTCTTCGTCCGTTCTGGCCAGACTTCGTTCTACATCCTTGTCTACGTAGACAACCTGGTCTTTGCTACTGCAAACAGAAATGCGCTGGCCTCCGTGAAGGCCGAGCTGCTGAGGAGACACACCTGCACTGACCTAGGAGAGCTGCGCCGCTACCTTGGCTTACAGATCTCCAGGGACAGAGCAGCACGCACCATCAGTCTCTCACAATTACACTTGGTGCGCTAGGTCCTTCAGAGGTTCGGCCTTCATTTCTCTTCCGCACAGCCCACCCCTCAACCAGTAGACCACAGACTCTGTGCCCCAGTCCTGGAGGAGGCTGTAGAGCCTAGTGGCCCCTACGCAGAGCTAGTGGGTTGCCTCATGTACCTGATGACTTGCACTCGTCCAGACCTCGCATACCCTCTCAGCATCCTAGCTCGCTTTGTGGCTCCCGGCAGACACCGACCACAGCACTGGTCGGTCGCTAAGAGGGTTCTGCGTATCTAGCAATTACATAGGGCATGGGGCTAGTGCTACGAGGACGTAGACCAGTGGTCCTTACCGGACCCACAGACCCTTCTTTAGTAGACGACGCTGAGACTCTCAGGTCCTCACAGGGCTACTGCTTTAGCCTTGGTGCAGGTGCCATCTCGTGGAGGTCCACCCGTTCCTCGTCTGTTGCCCAGTCTAGCTGTGAGGCTTAGATCTACGCTGGTGCCATGGCGACACAGGAGCTCCACTAGCTGAACTTCGTGCTCACCGACCTGGGTGAGCGGCCTAGCTCTGCCCCGGTTCTGTACGCTGACAACAGGGCCATGATCCTCCTGTGTCAGGAGCCACGACTAGAGGGCAGAGCAAAGCACATCTAGCTGTGATACTTCCTCCAGCGCGAGCTGCAGCAGCATCGCCAGGCTCGTGTAGTACACTTGGCCTTCAGTGCCAACACAGCTGATATCTTTACTAAGGCGCTTGTGCCTAAAGATCATCAGCGGCACTGTGTATAGCTAGGTCTCGTTCCTGTAGCCTCTCACTTGCTAGGACCTTGATTGTGTACAGGCCTTTATATATATTACCCTGACTGGCCTTGTGGCCTCTTCCCAGTGGCTAGACTAGTAGTGCCGCCCTGGTCTTGCTCTTGCCCTGTCTGTACTCGTTTGACTGGTCTTTAGACCCTTGCCTCAGAGGCTGGACTAGTAGTGCCACCCTAAATTGCTTCTCTCTCATCGGGCACTGCCACTTTCCAGTCCAGGGGGTGTGTGAAACATATATTGTACGTTGTTATACACTCTATAGGGTTGTGCATTAGGGAGTACAACCCATTAGGTTATATGCCCGTGTATGTCATTGTTCTAATTATTCTTTCACTTTAGCATCGCTATGGTGTTCCTATACCTAGCCTCGTCATTGATTGTATCGACACTCTGATCAATCTGTAATTTTGTCATTTTGAATCTCAATATTCACTTCCGGGCTACTCTTGGGTTTCCACCCATAACACTCGGTGTACCTAAACCAAGGATTGATACGAATATCCTATGAATCTCGCATGAAACTTCCACATTTGCAAACACAAATATTTCGATGCATCATACAATGCCAATAGGGGATACTGACAGCGAAACTGTTGAACACAGCTAGGTAGGAAAAGGAGCCATGAAAATGGCGAGAGGTTTTAGGCTAGGAGAAAGTTACGAGAGAGAAGAGAGGTGGACTAGAAGAGAGGGATACAAGAAGGGGGTTGTACCCTCTACAGTAGGATCCGGTAACACCTACCAAGCCTACAATTATATATATCAAATATATAATTTAATACACCCCCAAGGCTTGGTAGCCGAAAGCACACTACACACACAGCACACTAAGTCACGCACCTCCTAAGCCTAGCAACCCCAAACTCAGCAACAGCGACGACTACTCCAGTATGGTCAACCCCTTGGCGCGTGAGGCGGCGACGTCGACAGCGAGGGCAGTGGCTGCAACGGCGGTGATGGCGGAAGCGTCGACGGCGGCAGGGGCGGCGGCGTGCGGCGGCGGCCAGCGGCACCAGCTGCGGCGGCGGCGGCTTCGACGACAGCAGCGGCAGCGACGGAGCTCGCAGCACTCGGCGGCGTGGCCGGGCTCTGCGATGGTGGGACGGCCGGCGCTAGTCAGCCGTCGGCTGTGGCGAGGAAGAGGGGACACAGGGGAAGGGGGCGGGGCTTCAGTAGCGGAGCCCGGGAGTGTGCCACCCCGTGTGGCGCTCTGGCTGCATGCGGGCGTGCTGGCCAGCTCTAAGACTGGGCTCTGGCTGCTGCCGTCCGTGCGGTGGCGAGTAGATGCCGCAACGACAGCACGACTGCGCCGTCACGGCATCATGACATGGCCCTGGCGGCGGCGCAGAAAGGACAGGAGCGAGGAGCGGACTTTGCGGAAGCGTGATAAGCAGGCTCAGGAAGGGCAACCTGCTCTGATACCATGTTGAACATAGCTAGGTAGGAAAAGGAGCCATTAAATGGGCAAAAGGTTTTAGGCTAGGAGAAAATACGAGAGAGAAGAGAGGTGGACTAGAAGAGAGAGGGATACCAGAAGGGGGACTGTACCCTCTACAGTAAGATCCAGTAACACCTACCAAGCCTACCATTATATATATCAAATATATAATTTAACACACCCCCTAGGCTTGGTAGCTGAAAGCACACCACACACACAGCACACTAAGCCACACACCCCCTAAGCCTAGCACCCCTTACTCAGCAACAACGACGGCTACTCCAGCATGGTCAACCCCTTGGCGCGTGAGGCGGCGACATCGACAGCGAGGGCAGCGGCTGCAACGGCGACGACGGCGGCAACGTCGACAGCGGTGGCGGCGGCGGCGCGTGGCGGCATGGCCAGCGGCACCAGCTGCGGCGGCGGTGGCTTCGACGACAGCTGCGGTGGCGGCGAAGCTTGCAACACTCCGCGGCGTGGCTGGGCTCCGCGACGGTGGGACGGCCGGCGAGAGTCAGCCGTCGGCTGCGGCGAGGAGGAGGGGACGCAGAGGAAGGGGGCGGGGCTTCAGCCGTGGAGCCTGGGAGCGTGCCGCCCCGTGTGGCGCGCTGGCTGCATGCGGGCGTGCTGGCCAGCGCTAAGACTGGGCGCTGGCTGCTGCCTTCCGTGCCGTCCGTGCAGTGGCGCGTCGACGCCGCCACGGCAGCACGACGTCGCCGTCACGGGAGCACGACATGGCCGTGGCAGCGGTGCGGAAAGGACAGGAGCGAGGACCGGACTTTGCGGAAGCGTGATAAGCAGGCCCAAGAAGGGCAACCTGCTCTGATACCATGTTGAACATGGCTAGGTAAGAGGAGGAGCCATGAAAATGGCAAGAGGTTTTAGGCTAGGAGAAAGTTACGAGAGAGAAGAGAGGTGGACTAAAAGAGAGAGGAACACAAGAAGGAGGGTTGTACCCTTTACAATAGGATCTAGTAACACCTACCAAACCTACCATTACATATATCAAATATATAATTCAACAGAAACAACCTCAATTCAAGAGCTACTGGTCAATCCTCGCCATCCTCCTCCCCATCCTCCTTACCATCCCAGACGTGTGCTAAATCTTCTACTGGGAGAGCGTTTACGACCTTGTACGTCTCCCTTGAGTGCCTCTCCTGCACCTTCTCGCGATATTCCTCTCCTCTCTTCCTCTTCTCGTTGACACGAACCTGAAAAATAAAACAAAAAGGAGACACGGAGAAACGTGACCGGTTTTGCTTGGATGTAGGTGAAACCTGACCAATGTGGGAAAAACATTGTTCCTATCACAGAAGGAACCTTTAAGGTTTTTACACACCTTATTGGGCGAAATGTAGTGAGGATTCTCATAAAGTGTGGGCCCTCCAAATGTGCCGGAGAATACGCGAATGGGATTCAGGCAGAAGCGAGGTCCAACCTAGATGGAAGTGAGAAGACGGAGGGGGTATAGAAAGGCAGGGAAAATAGACCCATGTGGTGAATGCTTCTCTCATGCAAAAGTCTCTCAACTCAACACCAGATCCAAGCACTCGACAATATACACACACTAATCCTTGGCCTCAGTTCGCATTCTGTTCCAACATCAGGAGGTACAGTACCTCCTCTAGTGACATTTGGGTGTCACTCAACAGCTAAATGTACACGCCCTTACCTCCACTAACGACATCTTCTCCATGGTGATTTCATCGATTTTGGATGCTCCCTCTGCTCCAGGAATGCACATCTGAAACGCACCAAGCGGTTGGATCAGTATGTCGTGCCAATATCTTCTGTTTGCAAGTTACCACTTGTGTGCACAGGGAGTCTCTTGAATCAAATTATCAAATGGATTTGTACACAGAGACTGCATGATGCACAGGATGTGCACAGGATGTGACTGGGGACGTGAGCGCGTGATCCTATTGGTGGAACTTACTTGGTAGTTTCTGAACCAGATGCGGTTGTCCAGGTAGGTGAATGTGAGCACGTGGTCGTAGAAGGGCTTCGACTTGCGATGGCCTTTAGGGGTCGCAAACGTCTGCAATCCGTCCAGGCAAGGTTTGAATGCACGCACGTCAGATGAGGCAACGGTGTTGACCTGAGTTGAAATCTGATGCAAGGCCTGACTTTGTATGACAGCCAAGGACCGAGCAATCAGATAGTGAGGCGTATGGGAGAGTGGCTGTATGACTGGAAGGAAGAGAAGGGCAAGGGCGCGTGTGTGCCTGAATGAAGAGTTCCTTGAGCAGGGAGAGGAAGGGCAGGCGGTCGAAGGACGGCGAGAAGGTGAGGAACGGCCGCGAGCCCTTGAGGTGGTTGCCTGTGAGCTTGAGCTCCTCCATAGTGTGCACTGGGGGGTAGAGAATGGGAAGGGGGGCGAGAGGAAGGGGGATGCAAGGCGGGGAGAAAGGGAGCCCTTGAGGTGGTTGCCAGGCAATTTGAGCTCCTTCATGGTGTGCACTGGGGGGCGGAGAATTAGGGGGGGGGAGGGGGAGAGGGGGAGGGGAGGCGGAGAGGAAGGGGAAGCATGGGAGGGGAAGAATGTGAGGGCCCTGGAGGTGGTTTCCGGTCAGCTTGAGCTCCTCCATAGTGTGCACTGGGGGGTGGAGAAATGCGGAATAGGGTTGAGATAGGGTCGAGTGGGGTGGGGTGGGGTGCACAGGGAAGAAGGCAGGGGAGAAGGAGGAGGAGGGAGGAATGGGGATGGGGTCAGTGCACAATCGTACCAACACATGCTCATTCCAACAACACATTCAATTGAATGACAAGCATACCGGCACTGACGAGAAACTTCACGGAAGGTCCTGCGGGCCCCTTGCTGAGCCACAGGTAGAGGTCTCTCTGCTTGCGCATCTGCAGCGACATGGGCAGAGAGAGAGAGGGAGAGAGGGGGAGAGAGGGGGAGAGAGAGGGAGAGAGAGCACAGGGTGACGGGTGGTAGGGACATGGACATGGGTGACTGGCTCACAAATGGAGGCGGGGGTCGCAAGTGCATGGCAGTGAGTAAACCAAGTGCAAGCGCAAGTGCAAGTGCAAGTGCCGGGCGTCCGCACGAAGGAGGCAAACGAGAAACAACGGACGGGGCGGGGAGATGGGGGATGGGGTTGGAAGAAAACGGGGGAGGAAGGGTGGTGGGGGGAGCAAGAGGAGGGAGCAATGGGAGAAAGGGCAAGGTGGAGAGGGAGGCAAGGTGGAGAGGGAGGTAAGGTGGAGAGGGAGGCAAGGTGGAGAGGGAGGCAAGGTGGAGAGGGAGGCAAGGTGGAGAGGGAGGCAAGGTGGAGAGGGAGGCAAGAGACCTCGAAGAAGAGGCAGAGCGAGCAGCCCCGGAGGTCCATGAGCTCTGAGGGCGCCTCGTTGAGCAGCGGCAGTGAGTGGGGCGCTACTGATGCCAACGCAGAGAGCAAGAGAAGAGAAGACTGTGCGAGCAATGGAGGAGGCGGAATACGGACCTCGAAGAAGAGGCAGAGCGAGCAGCTGCGGAGGTCCATGAGCTCCGAGAGCGCCTCGTTGAGCAGCCTGCCCCGCGCCACGTCCACCTTGGGCTCCTTCTTGGAGTGGGGCAGCAGCGAGACAATGTCCTCCATCAGATGGCGGTACCTGGGGAGTGGGGAAGGCAAGGGGGTGGAGGGAACGGGTGTGACACGTGAGCCACGTCCACCTTGGGCTCCTTCTTAGAATGGGGCAGCCGCGAGACAATGTCCTCCATCAGATGGCGGTACCTGCAGGGGGGGAAGGTCGCGAGAGTAAGAGGGAAGCCAGGCGGCGGGAGTAAGAGCAGGTCACCACTGTGAGAGGGCCCTCGAGCCACGTCCACCGTGGGCTCCTTGCTGCCGTGCGGCAGCAGTGCACAGCAACACGATTTCATCCGTTAAGTGGCGGTACCTGCAGGGTGTGAGCGAGGGGATGAGACTGACATGTGTGTGTGACGGCCCTCGAGCCATGTCCACCTTGGGCTCCTTGCTGTGCGGCAGCAGGGACACGATGTCCTCCATTGGATGGCGGTACCAGCAGGGGAGGGAAGGGGCGGGAATAAGAGCGTTCAGGACCGTGTGGGAGGGCACTCGAGCGGCTTCTGAGCCACGTGCACCTAGCGCTCGTTGGTGCTGTGTGGGAGCAGAGAAACCGTGCCCTCCATAATGCGGCGGTACCTGCGGGGTGTGCAGGACGGTATGGGGAGTAGACAAGAGAGAAGCTAGAAGAAATCAACGTGCGAGCGCGGTCGGATTGGCTAAGCGTCAAAGCCCTGCATAGAAACCCTGTGCCCGGTAAAACCCGCGCGCAACCGTAATCCCCTCAAAAACCCCGAGACCAACCCAAGACCAACCTGTACACGATGCCGCGCGACGACAGCACGAGCACTTTCTCCTTCTTAAACCCGACCACCGCTTTCCCCTGCAGTGCACCCGCTAACTCGCCCGCTGCTTTCCCCTGCGTCTCGCTCTTCGGAATCAGCCCCACGTGCACTACTCGCATGCTCTGTCGTTCTTTCGCCGCTTCCTCCGCTGCGGTTTTCGCTGCGGCTTTCTTCTGCTTCTTCTTCGCGATCATCTCCTGTTTCTTCGTTAAAAGCGGCTTCGCTTTCGCGCTGATGTGCGATTGGGCTTTCGCTGCTGGAGCACCGGTGGTAACCGTCGCCTTTTGAATTTTCGCAGAGGATTTCGCCACGCCTAGCGGCTTCTGGGTCGTTGGCTTCGATTTCGCCGGCGCCGGTTTCGACTTCTTCGCCATTGGATAAGCCAACCGGGCAACGCGAAGGAAAAGGGAAAAAGGAGGAAAAAACTGGCGGCGAGCGAAAAGTGAGCGGGATCCGCAAGGTTCTATGGAAATGCGCAACGATCGGGACGAAGGGAGAGAGTGCACCCAAGACTATGGCGAGTGGTGCAGGCTAGAACTCGGTTTTCAGCGGAGTTTCTCGCTGGTGGATGGGTGAAGTATGCTGGAAACTTGATAGGCGAGGGGTTTAGGCGAAATCTTCTGCGTTGGAAATTTGTGTTGCCTTTGCAATTTTGTACAGGGTGTAGCACAGTAGAGCTCGTTGTATTTTGATGGGTGTTTGTATCGAGTATACCAAGTTTCCCGAATGCCGTGAGCCGGGCGGGAGGGAGCGTCACCCTCACGTTCCCCAAACAGCGCCGCAGGTTCGGGCCTGACCTGGCCTGAGACCTCGATTTCATCGTCACCCATACGAAGATGACGAAGTCACGCCAAGCAGGGAATTGGCGGGAAAGCAAACTTCAGCGATTTCAACCGCACTGCACCCTTCATGCTTCCCGCTTCTGCATGTTTTTTTGGCTCAGGTTCAAAGCATCATGGGTGTTCCATCCCCACATAAATCTCTGATGCAATTCGTCTTGCTTCAGGAGGTTGTTTCTTTCCGACTTCTTTACCTGTTGGCGCTACGCTGCATGCTTCTAAGATTGCCCTAGCCTGTTGAAATCTTCAGTTAGTCTGCAGAACACCAGAACACCTGGCGGTAACGATGGTTGCCGCTACGCGAAGCCGTCGCAAGTTATCCCACGAAATAGATTCGTTAGAGCTTAACGCGAACAATAAGCTAGTAGTGCCTCTCGCCAATACTACGCGACAGCACGCTGCGTTAGCAGAGGACTCGTTTTCTGTCAAACCTCGGGCTTCTAACGGGGACAACAGCGAGCCCAGTCCGAGCGAGGGTTCCAAGCCTAGTCCGAGCCTGCCTTCCGAGTCTAGCCCGAGCCTCGCTACGAGGTATGGGTCACGACTTAATAGTGCAGAGGCGAGTGGTGAGCAGTCCCTTGGGATTGACGATACTCCAAACTCGAAGAGGAGAAACAGCAGGAGTGGGCGAGCGAAGACTGGCGAAGAGGGCGAAATGGGAGGCATTCTGGCGAAGGTTTTCGCCAGTGTAGGTAACACTGCTTGCGTTGGTGATGGCAGCAGCGGCGGAAGCAGGGAGGGGGTGGCGGGAGGGGGCGAGAGAGGGGCTGAGGAGGAAGGAGGGGGAGGAGGAATGGCGGGTGATGTTGATGCAGGGAATCGATCTGACGGGGGAGAAGCAGGAAAAGGAAAGCGGAGTGAGATAGAAGGTCCAGGAGTCGGGGGTGGGGGGATAAGAGAGGATGAAGACGCGCAGGCGCAGGAGCAGGGGGGGAATGCTCGGGGGGAAATGGCGGGCGGAGGGGGAGAGGCGGAAGGGGATGGGGGAAAAGTAGAGGGGGATGGGGGGGAGATTGGGGTGGCGGAGGAGTGGGGGGCGCTGTGGAAGGGGTGCGGGGGGATTCAGATGTTTGAGAAGGCGGGGGAGACGGAGGAGATGGAGTGGGCGGGGGATGGGTGGATGGCGGACACTCAGATTGTGGGGGAGGACGACGAGGGGGCGTACGGTGTACTTGGGAATGGTGGGGATGATGGGGATGATGGGGATGGTGGGGATGATGGGGATGATGGGGATGATGGGTGTCGTGGGAAAGGTGGAAATTCGCCAGTGCAAGGGCAGGAGACAGGGAATGCGTTAGTGCGGGACAATAATCAAGAGGAGACGAGAGAAGGGGAGGATCAAGAAGAGGGGGGAAAGCCAGAGGAGGGGAAGAGGTTAGAAGAGGGTAAGAAGAAAGAAGAGGAGAAGAAACAAGGAGAGGGGAAGGGGAAAGAAGAGGAGCCGAGGAAAGGAGAGGATCAGAGGAAAGGAGATGATCAGAGGAAAGGAGAGGATCAGAGGAAAGGAGAGGATCAGAGGAAAGGAGAGGGGGAGGAGCAAGCGAAAGGAGGAAGGCAAGGACAAGAGGAGAGGCAAGGTCCGGAGGAGAGGCAAGAGGACGAGGAATCGCCTGTATCCTCTAAAGGAAGAGGTAGGGGAACAGGGAAGGGGAAGGGGAGGGGGAGGGGAAGAGGCGGAAGACGAGGTGGGGGTCGCTGTGCGGGCAAGGGGAAGGGTGGCGCGCTAGGGATGGTGAAGGAGGATGCGGAGCGAGGGGATGAGGAAGAAAGGAGAGGGGGCGAGGTAGGAGGTGCAGTAGAAGCATCCACACCCGCAGCACGAGACACAGCAGAAAAAGACGCAGCAGCAGCAGCTGCAATAGATACACCAGCAGCAGCATTAAACGCACCAGCAGCAGCAGCAGCAGCAGCATCTGCTCTTACGGAGTCAGTGGATCCAGGCGAGGACACACAGGTGGATGCGCTGGGCATAGTGGCTCGCCTGCTCGGCTCTGACAGCCAGCCGGGCAGCCAGCCGGACAATGATGTGCTTGTAAAGGGCGGAGCGCTGGGAGGGATACTAGGGGGAGTGGCTGGGGGCGTGGGGGGTGATCGTAACGGGGGTAGTGAGGTAGGGGGTGCGGGAAAGGGGGCACCAAGTTGGGCCAATTGGCTCAAGCCCGTGGGGAAAGCAGGAGAGATGGTTACAGAAGGGCCTGCGGTTACCCCTAGTGTGCAGCCGTTACGGGCTGTGCTGAGGGCAGATGGGGCGGACCCCTATGCCCTGCCGTACAGTGAAGAGGCGGAGGATGGGGAGCCCTGGGGAAGGGCGCTGGGGGAGAGGCCGAGAGAAGGGAGAATGGGGGGAAGATTGATGGAAAGCGGAAGGGGAGTGGAGATGAGATGGAGGAAGAGGAGGAGGCGGAAAAGGCGCAGAAAGGGAAGGGGAAGGGGAAGGGGACACGTGGAGGGACAAGAGGTAGGGGGAGAGGGAGAGGAAGAGGGAGAGGCGGGGGGAAGGCGAGGGGGAGAGGGAAAGGGACGACAGGGACAGGTGGCAAGGGTGGCATAGAGGAGAAGGAGAAGGGGGAGGGGGAGGGGGAGGGGGAGGGGGAGGAGGGGGTAGAGCGAACGGTCGCTATTGGTGCAGGTGGGACAGGGAGGGGGAGAAAGAGAGGGAGGGCTGCTGGAAGGGTTGCGACCCCATCCAGTGACTTGGATAGGGAGTACTTTTTGAAACTGAGTCAACTGCAGGAGGAGGAAGAGGAGGAGGAGGAGAAGGGGAAGAGAAGACGGATGTCCAAGTCATGGAGGGCGGGAGACGGAGCAGGGAGAGGCGGAGAGGAGGAGAAGGGAGGGAAGGAAGGGGGGAGAAGGGAGAGAAGGACGGGGAGAAGAAGGGAGGGAAGGGCGGGGCGAAGTTGAAGGGAGTGAATGAGGAAGGAAAGGAGGGATCAGGAATGGAAGGCCAAGGGAAGGAGAAGGACGATGGGCACGAGAGTGGGGAGGGTGCAGGAAAGGAAGAGGAAGGGCTGGGAGTGGGGAAGGACGAGTCAGTCACTGCCAGGATTGAGGAGACAGGATCAAAGCTGAGACTGGGAGAATCGGCACCTATGGGAAGCGAGGAAGGAGGGCTGAACCCGGGGGTGGGCGAGCCAGCAGGTGATCGATTGAGGCTGGGCGAGCCAGCAGGGAGCCAGATGCCCGAGTCAGAGGATCTGCCCTTCGATTCACAGGCGCCCTGGATGGACTCCCAAGCGCTGGGGATGGGATCAGGAGAGCTGGGGGCGGGCAGCCTGGGCGTGCAGGTGAGCCTGGGAGAGGTGCTAACTGCGGACCTGGAGATGTCGCAGGGGTGGGCGGTGGGGGAAGAGAAGGGGGAAGCGGTGGGGGTGAGGAGAGTAGGGGAGCAGTGGGGGGAGGGAGTGAAGAGGGGGGTGAGGGGACGGTGAAGGGGAGTGAGGGAAGGAAGGCTGGGGCTGAGGATGAGATTAAGGCTGATGGGGAGGGGGGCAAGGCTGGTGGGGATGCGGGTGCAGGTGTGGCAGCAGCGAAAGGGAGGGACAGAGAGGATGGAGTGGATAAGGATGGGGCAGGGGCGGGAGGGAGGGACGATGGAGGGAGGGAGGGGAAGAGAAGGCGCGTGGGGGAGGGGCTTGGCGGTGAGGGTGGGGCAGGAGGTGGGAGAAGTGCGGAGGCAGCAGGAGCAGCAGTGATTGGGGCAGCAACAGAGGCAGGAGGAGGAACCGAGGCAGGGGAAGATGCATTGACAGGGGGAGAGACAGAGACAGGAGGGGAAACATTGAGTGGGGGAGCAGCAGAGAGAGGGGGAGCAGCAGAGAGAGAGGGAGAAGCAGAGAGAGGGGCAGCATTAGATGCGGGGGAAGCCGCAGAGGCAGAAAAGGCAAGAGAGACAGGAGGGGCAGCAGTAGCAAGCAGGAACGCCGCGAAAGCAAGGGCGTCGGCAGCACTAGCAGCCTCCATTGCGTTTGAGTTCTCCCCTGTGGGCGAAGACACCCAGATCGCCCTTGATGCCTTGGACCTGATTCTCGAGCAGGGGGTAGGCGAGGGGGGAGGACTGGTGGAGGAAGCGAGTGGGAATGGGAAAGGGAAGGGGACAGCAGCGGTGAGGGGGAAAGGGAGAGGGAAGGGAGGAGGAGGAGTGGAGGGCCTGAAAGGGAAGGGCGCAGCAGGTGGCTTGAATGTTGCGGCTTCACCAGCAGCAGCAGAAGCAGCTCTAAAAGCACCAGCAGCAGCAAAAGCAGCAGCAGAACTAAAAGCAGAAGCAGAACCAGAAGCAGAAGCAGCACCAAAAGCAGAAGCAGGACCAAAAGAAGCAGCAGATCCAAGAGCAGCAGCAGAACCAAAATCAGCAGCAGAACCAAAAGCAGCAGCAGAACCAAAAGCAGCAGCACCACCAAAAGCAGCAGCAGCACCAGAAGCCCGAGCAGCATCAGAACCCGCAGCAGCACCAGCAGCAACCGCATCACTAGAAGCACCAGCAGCACCAGCAGCATCACGAGAAGCACAAGCATCATCAAAGGGAGCACCAGCAACAGCACCAGCACCCGCAGCTGCACCAGCAGCAGCACAGGCAGCTGGAGAAGGGGCACCATCGCTTTCGCCCTTAGAAGCAGTAGGGGCAAAAGCAGCTGTATCCGTGGCAGCAGCAGCACCGTCTGCATCAGTGGCAGCAGCAGCCGCAGCAGTTGCAGCAGCTGCAGTGGAGAGACGGGTGGTTGGACGGATGGCAGAAGTTGGGAGAGGGGCTGGGCTGGTGGGGTTGGAAAGCGCTGTGATGGAGGTGGAGGAGCAAGAGAAGGGGAGAAACCATAGTGAGGGAACGGAGAGGTGCAATGAGGAAAGGCAAGGAAGATCAGTGCAGAGAGATGAGGAGGTGGAACGAGGTCAGGCACACACAGAAGGGATTGCTGCTGCTTCCGCTGCCGCAGGCGCTCACAAAGCGTCTGTCGCTGTCGCTGCTGCTGCTGCTGCTGCTGCTCCTGGTACTGTGGCTTCTGCTCCTTCTCCTGCTCCTGCTCCTGCTCCTGCTCCTGCTCCTTCTCCTGCTCCTTCTCTTTCTCCTGCTACTGCTGTTGCTGCTGCTGCTGTTGCTGCTGCTGCCGCTCCAGCAAATGGCATCACTGCTGACGCGGCTGCTGTTATTGGGAAAGGCAGGCGAGCAAAAGGTAGGGGCAGAATGGCTCAAGGCCTCGTGGCATGCAGCTCGAGCAGAGGGAGAAAGGGGAGGGACGGTGAGCTGATCACGGGGCCTGAAGAGGTGAATCTGGGAAAGATGGAAGGGGGAGGAGGGGAGGAGCTGTTGGGGAAGGAGCGGGAGGGGAAGGAGGGGAAGGAGGAGCAGTTGGGGAAGGAGGGAGAGGCCACTGGTAGTGGTGGTATGAGGGGGAGGAAGGGGAAGAGGGAGAAGGGAAGTTCCCTGGTGGTGCACGATGGGTTTTATGAGTTGTTGGAGTCGAGCGGGAGTGAGAAAGGGAGTGAGAGAGGGAGTGAGAGAGAGAGCGAGGGAGCTGGTGAGAAGAGGATTGAGAGGGGGGATGAGAAGGAGGTTGAGGGGAATCGTGAGAGGGGGAACGAGGGGAGAGGTGGAGTGGACGGGGAGGGGGGTGATGATGATGGGGAGGCAGAGGCGCAGAGGCCAAGGAAGAGGCGGAAAGGCGCAGCTGCTGGGGGGAAGCAGACGAGGGGGGAAGGGGAAAAGGGGCAGGGAGGGGGGAAGGGGAAGGAAGGAGAAAATGGGACGGAAGGGGAGAAGGAGCAACGGGGAGAGGGAAGGCAGGGCGAGAGAGGCAGGTGAGGGGGAAGACCAGGGCGCAAATCGAGACAAAGGCTGGACGGGGAGCGAGAAAAGAGAGGGAAGGGAGTGGGAACGATGAGGTGCAGGAGGATCTTGGAGGAGATGAGAGGAGGGGGAGGAGGAGGATGGGGAGGAGGGAAGGAGGGGAAGGGAAGGGAGTGAGGAAGCAGGGGAGGCCAGCGCAGGGAAGAGGAAGAGGGGGAGGCGGCAGGAAGGTGAGGGTGGCCTCTCAAGGGAAACGAAAGGCGAGGAGCGGAAGTTAGAGAGAAAGCCAGAGCGAACACACACAAAGAAGATCGGTGCTCAGAAGGTGTCTGACAGAGCTGAGGAGCGAGGGGGAGAAGGACAAGAAGGGAGAGGACTCAGAGGAGAAGGGAGAGGAGGAGAAGGGGGGGCGGGGAAGGTGCAGGAGAATGACGAGGTGCAGGAGTGTGTGGAGGAGATCAGCGTTCCAGGGAGGGCGAGGAGGAGGAGGAGCAGCAGTGGGGCGGCAGGATCCTATCGCACTGGCTTGCATGGTTTGTCTCCAGTGCGGGTACTGTTCAGCCGATCCCTGGACGCCAACACAACGAGCGAGTTGACGAGAATAGTGGAGCGACTAGGAGGGGATGTGGTGTCTGACACCTCCCCCGCCACCATCACCACTGCGTCCGCCCTCGCTTCCTCCTCCTCCTCCTCGTCCCCTGTGGTTGCCGCTGCTGCTCCTGCCGCTTCAATCTGCACTCACTTTGTCTCAGCGACGAAAATAACTCGCACGATCAATCTCCTCGTTGCCATCTCCAGGGGCTGCCACGTGTGCACTCCTGATTGGCTGCACGCGTGTGCGAGGGCGCGAGGGTTTGTGGATGCGGAGGGCTATGGGGTGAGGGACAGGGGGAAGGAGAGGGAGGTGGGCTTTAAGCTGCAGGAGGCGGTGGGAAGAGCGAGGGAGCGAGGGGTGTTGGAGGGGCAGCGGGTGTTTGTTACTCCGAGCACCACGCCTGATGCACACTCGCTTGCTGCCGTTGCGGCTGCTGCGGGTGCTGAGGTGAGCTTTCATTTGTGCTGTTCCTGGTGCTTCTGAGACTAACTTCCATTTGTATTGCTGGCAGCAGTGCTGCTGAGAAGATCATTAATCTGTGCTTCTATCGGTGCTGTGCTCAGCTTCATCTAGACTCTGCCACCTCTTCGCCGCTATGCTAACGCTGCCTGCCTGTTGCTTCACCAACCCCCCATGGCACATCTCCAGGTGCTGCCATCGACGTCTGCCCAGGCTGCCCCAACGGTGATCATTTCATGTGAAGCTGACCGAGCCGTCTGTGAAGCACGGGCGCTGCAAGGTGGGTGCCATGGATTCTGCATCGGTTCGTCCTATGAGAATAGGCTCAAAGCTGTCAAAGGCCAAAGGCCACCCATCCACTCACGCCATGTTACCGCTTCGACCCCATCCATGCCTCCTTATTCCAACATGCCACTATCCTTCCTACCCCTTCCACCCCTCCCACATCGGGCCATCAGGTGTGCCAATCTTCTCTCCCGAGTTTCTTCTGACAGCAGCGATGCGCCAACAGCTAGACTGGGACAGGTTAGCACTTTGACAGCTCAGCATAGGGACAGGTCAGCATAGGGACAGGTCAAAGAACTTGGAAAGGTCGACACGGCACTGGGACAGGTCACTGGTGCCTCCTTGGTGAGCCTCAGAGAGCACCTACACTCGCATAAATGTGTCCTGTTGGTTGTCCTCACTGACTCCTCGCTTGATTCTCCCCTCACCCTTCTTCCCCCCTTCTTTCTCCCTTGTTCTTTCCAATTCTGCCTCCTTTACCCCACAATCGAAGCGTTCTTCCTCCTTCCAGGCAAAACCAAAGTAAAGCACCCTTTGTATGATCGTGTATGCTCTTGTTCCTTCCTTCCCATCACCTGTATGTGCTTTCAGGAATCGTCTCCCTTAGTGTTTTGGGAAGCACCTTCACCTTAGCCATTTGGATTCAAATAAATCTGGTAAAGGTGGTGTATACTGTCAACTTATACATATTATCTATGTAGAAGTTATAGGCTAGACTGAGGTATGCTTCTAGTGAGTACAACCAACTAGTATTTGTTCTAGGTTTCCACCTCTAGTAATCATTCGTTTCTACGTTAACATGGTATCACGCTTAGGTTAGGATCCCCCCGCCTACCGCTTCCGCCCGTCGCGCCTCCTAGGCCCCGTCGCGCCTCCTAGGCCCCGTCGCGCCCCCCCTGGGCCCCGTCGCGCTCGTTAGGCCCCGTCGCGCCCCCCCTGGGCCCGTCGTGCCCGCTGGGCCCCGTCGCGCCTCCTAGGCCCCGTCGCGCTCCCCCTAGGCCCCGTCGCGCCCGCTGGGTCCCGTCGCGACCCCTAGGCCCTAACGCGCCCCCGCTGGGCCCCGTTGCGCCTCCTAGGCCCCGTCGCGCCCCCCATGGGCCCCGTCGAGCCCGCTGAGCCCCGTCGTGCCTCCTAGGCATCGTCGCGCCTCCTAAGCCCCGTCGCGTCCCCCCCCTCTGGGCCCCGTCGCGCCCGTTCGGCCCCGTCGCGCCCCTCCTAGGCCCCGTCGCGCCCGCTGGGCCCTTCGCGCTTCCTAGGCCCCGTCGCGCCTGCTAGGCCCCGTCGCGCCCCCCCTGGGCCCCGTCGCGCCCGTTAGGCCCCGTCGCGGCCCCCCTGGGCCCCGTCGTGCCCGCTGGTCCCCCGTCGCGCCTCCTCGGGCCCCGTCGCGCCCCCCCGGGCCGTCGTGCCGCTGGGCCCGTC